AGGAAATTATGCAGGAATCGAGGCTTGGTTATGCAGGAACAAGACTTAGTTGCAGATTCTCCTGAAAGTTACGATACAGCTGCTGCTAGAGCTGCCGCCATTCGCAAGGGATGCCTGCTTTAGAGTTCGATGATGAAATTATTGCGATTTGCGAAGTTTTTAGGATTTAGTTTATTTGTGCACTGGATTTGGCAGGCCACTCTCTCCATGGTTGAAGAATGCTGTGCACGGAGTATTCATTATGGATTGTGCAAAGATAATTGTTTGATTTTCTAGTTTCAGCTGTACATAATTTGGCATGTTGTTTTCAACTCTTATGTTTGAATTGTTGTGTTTCCGAAATTAAGAAAATGCTACAAGTACATTATAAATGTACATAGAGGTGTATATAATCCCCACATGAAGTGGGGTCCACTTGATTTTTTATTTTTGGTAGGTCATACTCAATATGAGTGTTATGTACACTTTTATGTACAATATTATGTACCTATAGCATTTCTCCCGATATTATTTAAATTAATTGTAGCGTGTTGCTGTAGTACACTTGAACTAAACTAAACTAATAGGTATGGAGTTCTCCAAGACTATCATGTGGGAACAAAAATAAAAATACACGTTATATGGTTATACTTCTTAATTATTAATAGTAAGAATCGAAGTTAAACTGAAAAATGGTAACAAATGTTGTGCAACAGAAATGGACTCCTTGACAAGTGCTATAGGAAGCAAAATGTTCATGGATCATGGAAAATTGTAATAAAAGTTACTAATAATTCTGTGATTCAACAAAGAAAATCTCTCCAGCTTATAGTCTTCAAACAAACAAAAAAAAACAAAAAAACAAAAAAACAAAATACGATTCTTTTCCCGCAGCAAGGCCGGTTGTCCGTTTGGTGAGAACTGCCATTTCCTCCACTTTTTCCCCGGTGGCTACACTGCCGTGGCTCAGCTGATGAACCTCACCCCTTCAGCCACGCACCACATCCAGAACGGCTCAGCATCCCCAGTAGCCTTCAAGACCAAACTCTGCAAAAGGTTTGGCACGCCCAAAGGCTGCAAATTCAACGACAAATGCAACTTCGCGCACGGCGAAGCCGAGCTCTGCCGGGCCATCAACCTGCAGGGCCACGAAGAGCCCTGCCAGCCCACTCCTGGAGCCAACCCAGCACGCACGGTGAAGCCGAGCTTTGCCGGGCCATCAACCTGCAGGGCCACAAAGAGCCCTGCCAGCCCATTCCTGGAGCCAACCCAGCACGCTTTGCAGCCCGCCCTGACCCACCTGCCCCTGCCCCTGCAGCCAGCTTTGGAGCCTCGGCCACTGCCAAGGTTAGCGTGAACGCCTCGCTGGCAGGCGCCATTATTGGGAAAGGAAGCATGAAGTCGAAGCAGATATGCCGGCAGACGGGTGCCAAGCTGTCGATCAGGGACCATGAGACGAACCCGGGCCTGAAGAGTATTGAGCTCGAGGGCACGCTGGAGCAGATTAAGGAGGCTAATGTGATGGTGCAGGAGCTCATAAACAGCACTGGGAGAAGCTCTGTTATAATTTTGCCAAGGGGTCGTGCACGTTCGGGTACAAGTGCCATTTCACTCACGGGGCTTCCGAGTTGCTGCTTGGTATGTGAGTAGCTTAGGGGCTTTCGAGTTGCTGCGCAAGACGGGTATGTGAGTAGCTTAGGCTTATGTTAAGCGATTGAGAATTTGTATAGAAGACTAAGATATAAAAAAACTTGAAAAGACTCTTGTCATGTTGAAAATTTGCTTATAGTTGGTTAAATTTGTTTCAATTTCTTTTTGATGAACATTCTAGCGTAGAGTTGATTTGGTATTTCATTCAATAAACACTACTTTGTCTGAGCAGAGTCTCCATTTCGAGACATCATTACATCTAATGGCAGAGAAGTTGATATCTTCTGATTCCATTTTAACCCAAAACATCTCAAATCATGTGGAATTGCCACACATTTGATCTTTGGGATGTGTTTTAACTCTTACGTACACATTGAGAGAGATTCAAATGACATGAAGATAAAAATAAGAGATCTCACTGCAACACAAAAGTACAACATGTCATTTCTGGCCGGCACACCTTAACAAAGACCGACGAAGGTTGAAAAAAAAACACACTCATACATCTTTTTTTATTTAAAGAAAAACACACTGCGAATTATGAAAATGGCCGGCAAAATCACACTTGTTCCATATGATTAACATTATCCCCTTAGGCACTGTAACCACCGCCCGTTCCATAGCCCGTGTTAGCACCACCACCACCTACACGTGTATTGTGTGCAGTTGTTCCACCTGTGCCAGTCGCAGTCCCAATTGGGTGCGACCCAACAGTCCCCTCCACCACCCGCCCAGCGGGCTGCCCGGAGCCATGTCCGGGAAGGGCTGACATCTGGTGGGCTCCGGTGGGCTGCCCGGTTGCCCCCGTGGTGGAGTAGGTGTGTGGGCCGCCCATGCCAGCGGCCTGCTTGGCGGCGGCATTTTGCTCACGAGCCTCCTGCTTGTGGAGCTCGGCCCGGTGGATACGCTCCTCCTTCCTCTCGCTTGCGATTTCCTTTTCGGTCGGGTTGTGAGCTGTCATCCTCTCCATCTGCAAATTACATGTTTTGGAAAAACAAGAAAATCAGAACATATATAAATATATCGTGGAAAAACAAGAAAATTAGAATTAGAATACATATGATCATATATGGTACCTTCTCTTGAGCGGTGGCCTTAGTCTTTTCCATGCCGGATTTGGCCGAGGCGGCGACATTGGCGGCGGTTTCCTTGATGGATTGCATCTTTTACGTAGGCTTTTTTTTTTTTTGATCTAAAGGATTTTCTTGGATTGAAGCAAATTTGAAGGGAATAAAGAAAGATTGATGAAGGAAAACTTGGAGGATGGCTGGAGAATAAATAGATATTGAGGCGCTTGGAGATGGTGACACGTTGAAAAAGTTGGGACACGTGTTGTCCTGAAGGCACGTGGGCTCGAGACACGTGTCCGGTGTTGCCGCCTTTTGTGAACGACCTGGTTAGTTTCGATGAGGTATGGATAAGATTTGTAAATGGCAGTTTGTGTTTGGTTCATTTAATAATAATCCATTTGCATATTGTATTGTAACAATATTATGGTGGTTGGTAAATTAATAATATCTATCTAATTGATAAAAGATTTATTTTATTTATTTATTTTTTTTTTTGGGTAACCTACTAATAACTAATCCAAATACATAAACTTATTTAAGTTATTAACTTTACTTTTTAACCATTGGTGTTCCATTCTACATTCTTACTCTCACTGGTGGGTTTTGGGCTGCAAATGACGAGCAGAGTCGAGACGAATCGAGTCGAGCACTAGTCTTTATCAAGTAAGATTGATTTTTTTTTAGCTGCCCGAGTTCGTCGAGTTCGATTTATGAGGCTCGAGCTCGACTCGATTAAAAGTACAAGAGCTCGAGCTCGAGTTCGACTCAAATTCAAAATGCTCGAGCTCGGCTCGAGTTCGGTTCAAATTTTTTCAAGCAATTTTGTAAAATAATCATTAAATACATATATATATATATATACAAGGGTATTTTAGTAATTTCATATATCTCGAGCCGCTCAACAATGTAAAATATGGGCTCGAGCTCGAACCGAGCTTTGACTCGAGCGCTCGCGAGCGGCTCGTGAACTACTCGACACGTTTGCAGCCTAGTGGGATTGGATCACACACATTTAAAATGAATTTTTTTGATTCAATAAAAAAAAGTCTACATCCACACATATTATATCGTAGGTTTATTTGTTGTATATAGAAGGTTGACTTCACTATGGAACCAATTGTTCTCATAGCAAAATCAATTTATATGAAACCAATTGTTCTCATAGCAAAATCGATTTTACCACATATTGAATTGTTAAAACTTATTTTTAGAAAGTATATTTATTTATAGTTTATAAAAAATATATATAATAATTATTTTGTTAGCTAAAATATTTTATTTAGTGACTTAAATTTTATTATTTGAGTTGTAATATTTTTTTATTTTTTTTTTCTCTTAAACTACTTGAAAGTAGTCCCACTTGTAACTAGCCCATTGAAATAACTTGAGAGAACTTTATTTGTTCATAGTCCATTTTATTAGCATAATAAAAAAAGTGTATAAATATATATAAAAAGCTAAAAATATTAAGAGTTAAAGCGAAGTACAATATACATTCAGGTCTGCATTTTGCTCGGTAGTCTTTGTAGTGCTTAGAAGTCCATTCGACGGACGTAATTAAAGTCGTTCTTCTTTATTTTTTGGTACAATTAAAGTCGTTCTTCTGTACAAAAA